ACACCACAGAGCTGGACGCGGGCAAGAAACAGGCAGGTCAGACTCGGGGTCGGTTCCCAGTTCTCTGCATGTTGAAACTGGCCATGGCGGTGGGCTCTGTGTCCTTTGTGCTTGCCACTAGCGGCCACAAGATAATGTCTGCTTTAGGCCTTGAGTCTGACTCGACCACGATCACAGATGGGGATGGGGCAGCTTCTCTTCATCAGACGATACATCTCCCCTTGGAACTCCAGATCCCGGTGGCCAAGCTTGGGATACATGCTTGTTCCTATGCCCGGCCCACTGGGCCAGCAAGGGGAGCAGGGGGGCTTTGTCATGGGACCCAAACCCAAGGACTCTCTGCAGTCACACTTCTGCCTCCACCCTGCTAGAATGAACTAGAACAGAAGTTCTCAAAGCTGATGTGCAAAAGAATTACCTAGGAAATGTGGAAATTATAGCTGTAAGATACCTAGACTGTACCCCAGTCTCAGCATCAGAATCGGGTTCATGATCAGGTTTGGGAAGCCAAGCGCCAGGAGAGGGGATGGGAGGATGGAGCTCTCTGAGCAGCAGTATCTGGCTCGCAGAAGGAGCGCAACCCATCTGGGTGAATAAATGGAGGGGGTGGTTGGGACAGAGAAGGAAGAACAGGGCGTGGGGGTGAAGCTCTGTCCCACTGAAGTCTGGGATTTTTTCTTGTTTGGTGGATTCTACTCAGGACTGTTTGTTTGTCTATAACACACCCCTACTTTGACTACAGTTTAAGCTAAAGAGGAGATTTTCTGGGGAAGTGAAAGCCCCAGGGCTGGTGTTGACGGAAGGTGCAACTCCAGGACACAAAGTGATCAGATTTATTACTTAGGGATCCCATAGATGGGGCCAGGGACCCACATCCCCAGCACAGAGAGCAGGGTGGCGGCAAATTACATAGGAGGGATTTGGGGCCGGCCACTGACTTTTCTTGGGCTCCGCTCCAAGTGGGTATTTTCAGAGGTGACCCCTGAAAGGCCAAGCAGAGCTTGTGCTGGGCCCCCGAAGCCCGGGTCCTTATCTGATCTCCATACTTGGGTGCGGGCAGGACACCTTCACCTAACTCAGAGTAGCACTTGGCTCATCACGAAAGTCTAAGCTCTAGGGTCACTGCTCATCCTGCATTTTACTGGCCAAAAAATCCCTGAAGAGCGGAGAAGTGGCTTGGTCAAGGCCCCAGGGCTAGTGAGCAGTGGAGACAGAAGTGGGTCTGGATGACACACAGACGAGGCAGATGAGTGATGCTCCAGCAGCAAGTTCACAGCGACACCTGCTCCTCAGGGGTCACAGCCACCTGAGGCTCTCTCTGAGACACCTGCAGGGGATCCTGGAAAGGAACAGCGTGTGAGGGAGGTGAGGGAGAGGGTGATCCCGATAAAATCAGCCTGGAGTCTCCAACCAGACCAGGCCGCTGGATCCCCAATGCCCCAGTGTTGCTGCTGAATTCCAGACAACTGCAGCAAAGTACTCATCGTGCAAAAATCTTGTGTTTCCTCTTTCTATAGTCAAATGTCCCCTCCTCACTGCAGCCTTCTCAGAGCACCACACTGAAAACTACATGCCCCTAGCTCACCCGGTACCTTTTTCCTACCTTGTTTTTCTCCATAGCACATAGCACCCCCTGACTCGGTATACATTTACATTGTTTATTGTCTGCACCCCATGACGGTCTTCCGTGCCCTGAAGGCAAGGATTTGGGCCCCTTTGGCTCGAGATCCTGTTTCTAGTGCTTGGAACAGTGCCTGGCACACAGTAGGTGATTCATAAATATTTGCTGAATATGCGAGTGAATGATGACAATAGCAGTAACACTGATTTTCAGTGATCACAACAGCCCTGGGAGGCAGGAATAGAAACTGTCCCCGTTCTCCTATGAGGAAGTTAAAGCTCAAGGAGATAGGACTTAAAAGCCTAAGGACGTGTGTGTGTGTGTGTGTGTGTGTGTGTGTGTGTGTGTGTGTGCGTCCTTCCACAGGTGTTTCATGCATATACAAATGAACATATATACACGTACATTCATATTATCCCTTCCTCCCTTTTTTTACTATATCTGGCCCTTTGGGGTTCTCAATGTCTTTTGGAGATCATTCCCTATCTAGTATATTCCACCCAGCTTCCTTGATATTTTTTGTCATGCAGCATAAAACACATACTTTTCTGATAATGGAACATAAAAATCAATGCCGCAGAGTACAGGATCACTACTTTTGAAAGCGTAAATACATAGTGCTCCATAGCATTTTTTTAGAAGTTGAATATTTGGATTTGCAAGTAAAGGTAATATATTATAGTTGAACATTTAAACTGGTTTTGGATTCTATTTCTTATTTTAAATGGAAGTGACATTAGTTTACAGCATTGTACAGGTCTCAGGTGTGCAGTTTCTCACCTCAGCAGCTATTTATATCACCCCCCACCCAATGTCCAGGCCCGTCCACCCCACACGAACCTCCTCAACCCCTCCCCTGCCCCTGCCTCCTGCTCCCTGCCCCTCTGGCCATTCTGTTGTCAGAGTCTAGGAGTTTGCCTTTGTTTTGTTCTATTGAGGATCCTAAGCTCTGAGTAAACCCTTTCTGGCCTAGAAGCCTTCTACTTGGGGTCTCCGCTGGGATGACTCATGCTATAGGTAATTACCCCACCCCACAAGGGTCCCTGTCGTCAGTGCCTGACTCCTCTTGCATCCTGCTGCCTCTGTGAGACACCAAAGGTACAGGCTCGGGAGGCAAAAGGAGACAAATGACTCCATCCAACTCCTGTACACCACAGGAAACAACCAGCAGAATGAGAAGTGCCTGTGGGGTGGAGACGAGCAAACCCAGTTCCTTAACAGTGACTGAGTGGCTGTCTGGTTGGAGGTGTCAGTGGACACATTGTGTGGGTTCGTGTGCGCCCCGCTCACTCTCTGACCGGGACACAGGCCGACCTGGGCCGGGTACACTGTGGTGAGACTCAGACTATCTCAATTTGGAGCTACAGTTTAGCATGCTGAGCTGAAAGTGCATCTCGGCATCAGTGAGGTTGCTGTCGGCCAGGAGAAGGCACACGCCCTCAGTTGGCTGTGCCCCTGTGTGCACAAGCTTGACCATGGTCGGCCACCGTGGGTCACCCTGGCACAGCTATGTGCATTTTTTGAACTCCTTGCATTGCAATTAAGTGCAGTTCCAAATCTCTTCCAAGACATAGTATGATGACTCAGGTTGAAGATAAAAGTAACTGTGTGCCCAAAATATACCTGGGGACAGTAGCAGAGGGTCACCGTGATATGAATGAAGTGGATATTTACCGCTAGAGGAACACCTGCAGTTCTTGCAAAGCAACAGCTAAGATGGATTCGCTCGGGGAGACCCAAGCTGGGTTAAGTTTTTCCATGTCATGCATAGAAAAGCGTTGTCTGTGCCAGCGGGTTTCAGACTTGAGCCTGCACCGTAGTCACCTGGTGGCTTGTTAAAACAGGTTGTTGGACCCATCCTGTAGTTGTGTTTGTGTGTGTGTGTGTGTGTGTGTGTTTTAATTCAGTAGGTCTAGGTAAGGTCTGAGAATCTGCCTTCTTAGAAGTTCCCAGGTGGGTCCAATGCTGCTGGCGGGAACTCACTGAGAGCCGAACTGAGACATGAAAGCAGGAGCAATAGCTAAATTCCCACAGAATAATGGGAACATCCACCAAGAGATAGAAGTGGTTGACTCGTGCATTAGAGACTTGGAGTGGAGGTCGTGTGACAGTTTGTCAGCCTCTTTAAACAACTTTAAACATAAGCTGCCTAATATTCTGCACATTTCCATTGAGAAAAGTTGAAATCCTGAGTTTTCACAAGTACCAAATGCTGATAGCACCCAGGTGTTCATTGTCATGTGTCAGACGATGCTGTCATTGCCAGAGGGGCCATGGAGGTGCACCAGGAACCCAGGCTTCTTAACAAATGTCCAAATAAGTCTAAGAGACTCATTCCCATTGAAAGTGTTGCATTGTTCATACAGACTGTTTAATAAGCTGTGAATGTCACATGTAAGACGGAATCGGCAGAGACCAGGGCAGCTGCCCAGGGGGACACCGAGGTCGATTCTCTAGAACCTTATCTGCACAGCCAGGCACATGTGTGCTGGGTGGAGCTGCTCTTTAAAGAGAATCAAAACAGGGACCTCCGTGGTGGCACAGTGGGTTAAGTCTCAGCACTGTGAAGCTATCTGTACCCTCTGCAGCACGAGTTCGATCCCTGGCCAGGAAGCTGACCCACACGGTGCAGCAGACCTCTCCTGTCTCTCCTGTCTCAGTAGATCCACTTGCTCTGCTCCCCACTCTGCCTCTGGTGAATCCTCTCAACCCCCACACCTCTGGCCTACACACCAGTTCTTGTGTGCATAAATTTTCCTCAAACTTCAGTGAGAGCACAAAGGTTTTCTTTTGGTTTGGTTTGGCTTGTTTTTTTTAGGAGTGCTTATGGTGACGAGTACTTGTGTTTCTAGAGGGTACTTGTTGTTTTGCCCAGAGTTCCTTCTATCACTTCTATTTTGGTTGCTCATTAGGATTTTGTAATAAAGTTTATCACATTTGGGCAAAGTTGACTGAAAACCTACCTGTTTAGTTAGTAAGTCTGGATTTGGAGGGTCTCAGAGCTCTGTCTCGATAGCTCATTTTCCATTTTTTCCCTTATGGTTATAAAATGACTGCCACAGGTCCGGGCATCACATCCTCATTCCAGAATGTCCAGGGGCAGGACATGGGGACAACCAGCTCAGGAAGAATGAGCTTTTCTCAGCTGCGTTCCTTCCTGCCTCCACTTTTCTTTTTAGTAAGGGAGAAAACCTTTCACAGAGGCCACCAGCTCCAGCGGATGATCTCCGATGCCTTGTCGGGAGAACAAGTCACTGATCCCTCCCAGTTAGCAAGGGGGACTGGATAGCTATCTAGCATATGTGTTCCCTATAAAGGAAGGCAGCCAAAGGGAATAGCTACTGGGTGTTACAAATGAATAAATCATTTTATCTTTTAGTTTCAGCTCCAGAATTTGTTTTTGAACACGGTTATCAAACTTACCTCCCCACGGAAAGCAATGAAAATCAAACAGCCACGGTCATCTCTCTGCCCGCCAAGTCACGTGCCAAAAAGCCCACGGCGCCACCTGCTCAGAAAAGGCTTAATTGCTGCTATCCAGGTAAAGGCAGCCTCGGGCCCCACGCTATCGAGGATGTGACATTGAACAGGTTCCAGGACCCAACTCTGGAGTTCCCCACAACTGGTCCTCCATGTGCTCCAAACTGCCTGGCTTAAAACTCAGAGCCCCTGGGGTGCAAGGCGGGGACCAGGTCATCACATATGACCTTGCCTGTCCTCCTGGTCACCAGTTATGCAAGCTCTAAGACAGGTGTCTGCATCGGCCTTTGAGTTGGCCCTCATGAGAATTTCAGGTTGCTGTGAATTTTTCTTCCTGTAATCTAGCTTGGAAAGACATCCAAAAAGATTATTATTCCTTACTTTTAGAAAAAAACCTTTTTATCTGGAAGTAACTTCAAAATTACCACAAAGTTACAAAAGGCAGGCGCAAAATTTCTACTGCCCCTTCATGTCAATTTCTGATATATTTTCATTACCACATTAGCTTTGCTATTCTTTCCACTTGTACATCTATTTTTGGCCAAGCCATTGTAAATCAAGATGCAGATGTGATGTCCCTTTACCTCTAAATACCCTAGTGTATAGCCCCTGGAAACCAGGAAGTTCCTTTATATACACTGTAATAAAATTCAGGAAATTAACATGTATTATCAAACCTACTGATTTGATAATTTTAACGTTTTTGATAATGTCCCCTTTATCAAAAGAAAAACACCTCCCCTGGTCCAGGATGTCGTCCATGATACACATGGCATTTGGTTTCTTTAGTTTCTGTGATCCTAAACTTTGTCTTTAGGGACCTCGATAAAATAATATCCAGGTCCGTTATTTTACAAAACGTGCCTCAATCTGAGCCTGTTGATGTTTCCTCGCGATGAGACTGAGGTTGTACAGAATGGGCTGGGATCATCTCTGCTTGGTGCGTGCTGTCTGTCCCTTTACTCTGGACCAACTTAAACTCTCATTGTTTGGGTCAAGGAGTTTCTGCTGAGTTTCCTTCTTCTCTAGTTTCTATGTTTCCCTTTGTAATTAATCTTCCTTTGCTTGCTTCAGGTTGCCAATTCAAGACTGCTTATGGCATGAAAGACATGGAGCGCCACTTAAAAATTCACACTGGTAAGTGACATTTCTCTGGTGCTTACCCCGGAACACATCCTCTGTGCCAGGAGCGGTCCAGACAAGTCAGGCACATGATGTGACACAGCCTCCATGGTTGTCATGGAAACACAGTAACAGAAGAAATAAAAATAAGCTGCTGTTTCTACATGTGATGTTGGCGGGAGATGTTTAAAGCAGTAAAATCTAGTGCTGAACAGATGTGAGCAGACTTTCCTGAGGATGGAAACTGCTGTGGTCATTTAAAAATGAATCTGCCAAGGGCCTCCCTGGTGGCGCAGCGGTTGAGCGCTGGGTTGCGAAGCTGCCCGCAGCCTCTGCAGCTCCGGTTCGATCCCCGGCTGCTCCCCGGCCACCGGAGGAGGGTCCCGCATGGCGCGCAGACCTCTCCTGCCGCCCGCTGCTCCCCTCAGCAGTGTATTTCATCAGTCTGCCTGTTCTGCTCTCCACTCTGGCTCTGGTGAATTCTCTCACCCTCCCGTGCTTCTGACTGTACCCAGTGCTTGTATAAATAAATAAATAAATAAATAAACAAACAGCAAACAAATGAATAAATCTTTAAAATATATATTAAAAAAAATTTTAAAAATAAAATAAAAAAATAAAAAAAAATGAATCTGCCAAAAGTAACTTTTCTTCTATTGTATCATTGAATACAGTGAGGTATTTTACAATTTTGAAAGAAAAATTTAATACACATTTTATTTTTTTAAAGATGTATTTATTTATGCATACAAGAACTGGGGTACAAACCAGAGGTGCAGGGGTGAGAGGATTCACCAGAGACAGAATAGGGAGCAGAAAGGCAGATTGTTTGAAATCCTCTGCTGAGGGGAGCAGGGGGCGAGACAGGAAGGTCTGCTGTGCCATGTGGGTAGCTCCCTGGCATCAAAGTCATGCTGCAGTGACTGCCAATAGCTTGATAGTGCTGAGACTTAAACCCATGTGCCACCCAAGAAGCCCCCCCTTTTTTTAAGTTAACACATGTTTTAAAAAGAGAAAAAGATTGATGTGTGGAAAAAGAAAAACATGATTACTTCTGGTGATTTTAATTTTCTGTAGTATATTATTTTTTATGTTTCCCAGATTTCCTACATGGAACAGGAATTGCTTTTAGGCTAGTTTTAGCAAAGTGCTCATAAGTCACACGATACAGACATGTGCCACCAGAGCATAAATGTGTGTAAGGTGGGGTCACAATGAAACTGGGCTTGAACTTCACTAATTGTTATGATTTAGCCTCAGCCTTTGAAAGAGGAAATATCCAGTGGTTATTCCTTATATTTCTCGGTGATGGGCAATGATTGCCTTACTGCACTGGGGTCACTGCCATGTCCAATCAGTCTCACAATGTCATGTCATTTGGATTTATTTTAATTATTGGAACAGTAAGTTATTAAGTGTCAAGTATTGGTAAGCAGGGCCGACGCAAGAGCGATGAATCTCTCCTTGTGGGTTTCAAATGTTGGCATTCATCTGCCAAGTGCAGCATATTTATCATCTCGGGAGCACAGTGCAGTGATTGTTCACGATGACTGGAGAAGGGTTCCAAAAATATAAGAGAAGGTCATGCCCTTACGTCTACTTCTGCACATCTCAGGCAGCCTCATATACGCACAGTGGACGGAGCTTGGACTCAGAGGGTAGTTTCTACAGAAGCACAGCCTCTCCATCACAGCAAGTGGGAGGACTGGCAGGTGTCCTCACCTCGGTCACTTTCAGAGAGGACAATGTGGTCCCCAGGGCACAGCAAGAACAGGGCGGCCTTTCAGCAGAGCTGATGGTGACCCACCGAGCACACCACCGGCCTCACCCCAGGCACAGGACTGACGGCGGCCACAGGAGCTGTCCAGCAGCTGATAACACTGAGCAATGTCCCTGAAGTTTGATATTTGACCACTCGCGTTTTTAACAATAAAATTGTAAGTTTTGGTAAACTTTGAGCTGCATTCTTAATTCCAAGACACTTAATCTATGCTGATCATGATCAGCTTGGACTAATGATTGATTTTAGCACTAACTCTCTAGGTTGGGCCCAAATGACATTTGACATATGAAGTTAACAAGTGAGAATCCTAACTGGCTGCCACCTCCTTATCCGTGCCCGCCGTGGCCAACCCTGATCATCCAGTGTGCCTCATTCTCAGAATCTGGGATGCCTGCACCAGAGCTAAAAGCATGCACAATTGATTACTTTATCTGTCTCTTAAGTCGAGGTTATTTGTATGATCACTGCAACTAGCTTTTGTTCATTACTCTTGGACACATTGCCACATCCGGATATAACATCTGCTCAATTCTTTCAGTAGCCTGATGAGGAATTGGTTCAATAATTTATATACATGCATACAAGGAAGTCTTTCATCCTAAAAAAATCACATGGTGGTATTTTATGATAAGATGGTGTAAATTATTTTAAGTGCAAGAAAGTCATCAAAGGGGAGGCAGTGTTGTATTGGGCTAAGAAAGACAGTCCTGGAATCTAATCTGAGAGGGGTCAGTGAAGTTGTTCAAAGGTGTGGCACCTTTCAGAAAATAAGTGTTCAAGTTGGTGTAAACCGAGAGGATTTTGTAACACCACACCCCCCCCAAAAAAAAACCGAGAGCACATACATATGGGTACGAAAAGATTGGAAAGATATGCATCAAGAAAATAGCAGTTGTCCACAGGTGACGAGCAGATATGTATGTTAACGAGCCAGGACGGCCACTGTAACAACCAACCCAGTCACCTGCTCAGACAGAGTGTCTGTGTGATCCAAGACCAGCAGCTGATCTAGAACAGTAGGTGGCTCTGTCTGAAGTATAATAAGAGAAATGTGGGGATGGTAGAGGGACTTTGCTTTGACATGAGACAGTACATTGTGTTACGTCACCCCCATCTGCACGTGTTCCCCTCACCTGCCAGCTCACCGGCATGTCTTGGTTCCATCTGGCGGGATGCAGGGAAAAGACAACAAGTAAAAGGGACACATGTACCTCCTCTGCCACTGCATCGGTGAGAGCTTGGTGGTAGAATCACACCACACTGCCGGTGAGACTTGAGCAACGTGGTCTCCAGCTTGTCAATCACTTGCAAGCCTGAAACTCAGGGGTTCAGAGTATTAGGGTGTGTCTTTTGTCGAAAGGGAAGAGAATGGACAAGAGAGACAATGCACAGTTTCTCATTTTGTTTCTCCAGCTATTAAAATTTTAGTTTTTGCGGGCCTCTATTTTGAATCAATAAGAATTTCATAATTGTGGCAGGAAAATTTAGAAAATACCAAGAAGTCCAGCTAAAGGAATCCCCCTTCTCCCAAGATAATAACCCTTTGTCAATCATCCCTCTGGCTTTCTGGGGTTTTCTCAGTCTCCTTTGTGGTTCTGTGTTGCTTTGCTCATAAAGCAGAGGGAAGTCAGCCTTGTTCTCTTTCCATCTTTTTTCATCTCGGTGCCGTGTGGGTGTGTGTCTGAAGGCGACAAGCCCCACAAGTGTGAGGTCTGCGGCAAGTGCTTCAGCAGGAAGGACAAACTGAAGACGCACATGCGGTGCCACACGGGCGTGAAGCCCTACAAGTGCAAGACGTGCGACTACGCGGCGGCCGACAGCAGCAGCCTCAACAAGCACCTGCGGATCCACTCAGACGAGCGGCCCTTCAAGTGCCAGATCTGCCCCTACGCCAGCCGCAACTCCAGCCAGCTCACCGTCCACCTCCGCTCGCACACAGGTGAGCCCGCACACTGCCCTGCCTCTGGGCTCGGGGCTCCCGGTGCTGACGTCGTAAGCACCTGAAAGCATTTAGTCCAAACGTCAGTCAGTGAACTGGGGACCTGGGGTCCCCTGCGGTTTACAGTTTTGCTTTTCACCTGCCCAGAGGTGCCGTTGCGCAAAGTATTTGCACCTTTAGGTAACTTTACAACTTATCCATTAGCAAAGTAGGTCCTGGGGGAGGTGTGCTTGGGGAACTAAGGATGCAAACACTGCATTTTTAATACATACTGCGTAAGGTGTGGCTGGGTAGAACCCTCATTTTTAAAGTGTGCTATCATTAGTTCTGCAGGGGACTGTTTGATTGAAAATCTTGGCAGAGCAGATAACTCAAAATTGTGTTTTGCTCTGGGTGAGTGTCATGGTCAGTTGTTGCTGTAAAACATGCCATGTAACAACCACCACAGAACCTCTGTGGCGTATTGCAATAGGCAGTTATGGCTCACATACTTCAGGTCACAGAGGGGTTCGCTGGACAGTTCTTGGATCCAGGCTGGGCTTATTCACTGGTATGGGGAGGCTGCTGTCCACTGGCCCTGGCTGGGGTAGCCTAGCTGGGCTCCATAGAGCTCTTCATACCCCTCCTTCTAGGACCTGAGGGCTGCCCCAGCTTGTCTTTCTTATGCCAGTGGCCCCCTGGGGAAGCCCATTTCAAGCCTGGTTGCATTGAGTCTGCAAAGATCTCATTGGCTAAAGCAAGTCATGTGGTTAAGCCTGGTGTCCAAGGTTAGGGCAGAGCTCACCCACCATGGGAAGTCACCCTAAGGTTACAGGGCAAAGGTCAAGTAAGAGGAGTAAGTACTCAGGGCTGTTATAGGGGGTCTGATTGGAGAAGCGTTATGCTCTGATACTTGCTCGAAGAATCTGACTCCTTCTCAAACAACTGGGCCATTTATGCAGCCACAGCCTACCCAACCATGGTTCACATCTCTCTGACATGAGAAATGTGTGCATGCCCTACCTTGTCCATTCCCTACCTGATCACAGGGTCAGACTTAGGGTCCAGGACCATGAGATCCCCATCGGGTCAGGATGTGCCTCCTCTTAACCTAGACACTTTTGAAGTAAAAAAAATTAAAAAAGCTCCCATACTCCCAAAGTACTGTGGGGACATGAAGCCAGATCATTAATTGCAATAACCCCGCTATTCCACTATTCCAAGGAGAAGAATGGACCTCGTGTTACATGAATACATATTATTGTAAATCGTTTTAGCCCTAGATGGGTATTTTTATCTCAGGCACACAAATTCATGGTCTGACACTATCCCTTCTTCTGGTTTCAAATACATCCTATGTTTTATGAAAGATTGTGTTTACTTTGGGTACCAGGTCTCCAGAGATACTTCATCATAGCCATTTTGCCCCCCTTGTAGAGTTAGAGGAGGTTCATCTTACCCTTATCAATCCCAATCCCAGTTTATCATCTTGTATATGAAATCTGTTACCAGATCCAAGAAAAGGGGAAGAATAGGAAGTAGTTGGTCATCACACAGATTCCTGAAATCCCCCTGGACAAGTGTTTCCAAGTCACCCCACTGTTGGGACAGAGAATGTGTCTTGATTAGGCTTTTACTCAGCTCCCTGGATCTTGACTCTGTCCACTGAAACATCCTTTCCATCACCTTCCTTCCTTATCCACTTCTGGAAAGGACTGGAAAATATCCCTTGGAGAAACATTCTCAACTTACTTTCTCCTTATTGAAAGTTGGGGATCTTTTTAGGTTTTTGTTGTAGTCTAGGCTGGTGACCAGCTTTTCTGGTAGAACTATCTTAAAAGCCCGGTGGGTTTCCTATGTATCAATGTGCCAAAAGGCATGCCCACAATTCTTTGGGAGACTCTCCTCTCTTCTAAGCCCCTTTAGAGGCACTTTCAACAGCTACCTGTTCACGAAGGCTCTTGAAAACCCTAAACTTCCTTGTCCAGGTGAGAGACCCTGCTTGATGCCACATGCATTCTTATGGAGATTTTAACAAAGAGACATTTGCACCCTCACTTGTCACATTGTCTTCCCTCCGTCACCAGTTCCCTGGATGCCATCTTTGTGCCCAGGTTTTTTTCTTCCTTTGAAAATCTTTTGCTGACTGAAGATGAGACTCTTGGTCTAACCCAGCATAGTTCTGATGTTCTGTGCTCTCTCTAAATTCTCTTTAGAAAATAGCCAGCTCTTTTTTTGTGTTGGTCTCTTTCTTGTAATACTCTATCACGAGCATCTAATGGGACACTTCCACTGCTCTGCCTAGAATTAATCAGATCATGTCCAAAATCCATTAGGTACATTTTCTATCTTCTCAGTTATTGCAGGTGAGTTTTACTGAATGTTTGCCACTTTCCAGCATTTACCTGCCTCTCAACCCAGTCTCTACCATCTAGACAATCCCTAAGCCAGTATTTTAGCTTTCTGTTATGGTAGCACCCTATTTCTAGATAATAATATCAGGTATTTATTGTCACAATAATACAGTCTAACAGCAATGTCATACTACCTTGGTGGACACAACAGTTTATCTTTTCTCTTCACCTGTTGGGAGTCAGTTGGGTATTGTCTGGGCTACTCTGCTGAACTTGTCTGTGTTCACTTACAAGTCTGAGAACCCTCTCCTGTGGGCTGGCCGACCACTGGCCCAGGCTGGAACAGTCCAGCTCTGCTCCACATTTCTGTCCTCCTCTTCCGGGGACCAGCGGGCCAGGCCTTCTCTGGCAATGGATGGTGAGGTGCACGTAAGCAATCCCCAGTGCACACGTCTGTCTCCAGCCACTACTTGGGCCAAATCCCATGACATGGTGGAGCCTATTGTTGGGGGACAGGGAAGCTTACCTTGCCCTTGCTGGGAGAGCAAGTGTAGGCACACAGGTGACAGAGGGCGTGGCTACAGGAGAGATGGGAGTTGGAGGTTTGGGGACACTGTTATAACCGACAGCAAGTTACGACATTAGTAGACTGATGCGCAGTTGATTTTCTTCAGAAATCTCCTCCAGCCTGAGTTAGGAGAATGTCCAGGACAGCCATGTAGGAAAGTGGTTCAGAACCATTTTGTCTCGTTAGGACAAACTTAGCATTTAGAGTAGCAACTTTAAATTGGTCTAGAAAAAAATATGTTTGTTAAAAATTAAAACGTGTGCCATTTAAGCGCTGTCTCTATGGGTGTTCACTTTCCTTTCATAAATCTGTGGCACCTGTACTGTTTAATACTCCTGGGGTTTGTTTTTATTTTGCCCTTTCCTCACTTTGTCTATACAATGTCAGCCATCTCAGTAGCCTCATGAATTCAAGAGGAATCTGCCAGTTTCAATATATTAGACACTTGTCCACTTACCAAATTCCTGAAGTCCCATCTCCAGACTTGATGCTGTGGGCTGAGGTCATGGACAGAGAGGACAGTGGTCCTTGGCTTTGGAGCTGACAGTTTAATGGGGTTGCACCTGGCAAATGGGCCTCGCTTTAAGAATAAGTATGTGGTTAAAGACAAAGACAACTTAGGGATTTGACTTACACATCAAAAAGTGAGATTTGGCTCTTGGTTTTTCTGTTTTTCACCTCTGCTGACTAGTCTTAAAAAAATAACAAAAAGAGTGTCACATTTGGGCAGGGATATAACTGGAAAAGCTAGCAGAACATTCTGCGGTAGGGATCCTTACTCTATGTCTACAGATAGCTCCACGCAGGGATCCATAAATAGACTTTAGATCTTTGAACTTGGATGGGGAAAAGTCACATCTTCGTTTTCACTAACCTGTACTGAAATTTGGTGTGCCCCTCACCTGTGAAAATAGGCAACCAATCTAATAACAATGTATGTGGACTTGTCACTGGTGGAAGTCACCTGTCTTTTCATAAGAGTTGCTGCAGGGCCTCCCGGTGGCGCAGCGGTTGAGCGCTGGGTTGCGAAGCTGCCCGTAGCCTCTACGGGGCCGGTTCGATCCCTGGCTGCTCCCCCGGCCACCGGAGGAGGGTCCCACATGGCGCGCAGACCTCTCCTGCCGCCCGCTGCTCCCCTCAGCAGTGTACTTCGGTCCTTCTGCCTGCTCTGCTCCCTGCTCTGGCTCTGGTGAATCCTCTCACCCTCCCACGCTTCTGACTGTACCCAGTGCTTGTATGTATAAATAAATAAATAAATCTTTAAAAAAAAAAAAAAAGTTGCTGCAGGAGATCAAAATATCTTTTTTTAAGATTTACTTTATTTATGCATACAAGAGCTGGGGTGCAGGGTGGGGGGTGAGAAGATTCACCAGAGACAGAATGGGGAGCAGAACAGGCGAATTGACTGAAATACACTGCTGAGGGGAGTGGCAGGTGAGCCAGGAGGGGTCTGTTGTGCCATATGGGTTAGTTCCTTGGCCGGGGATCGAACTCGTGCTGCAGTGGCTGCTGATAGCTTGCTAGCACTGAGACTTAACCCCTTGCATCACCAGGAAGGCCCTGAGATCAAAATATCTTTTATGCTTTTCTCTATTTAGAAGGATTATAGTCACTAGACCCGCCGCTACTGTTACTTAATAGTTTAATAAAATACATGTGTTGCCATCTCATTCATTTTCTCTTTTCATATTTTTGGTAACTATTTCACTACAATTGGTTTCTTTTGCATTCCTATTAATTTTTATTTTAGTTTACTTTGTGCGTTTAGACATTATTGCAAGAAAGTGTCTGTGAGTTTCACTAAACGCCCTTTATACCATCAAGGCCGTTAATGGTGTACAGAAGGTCTAAGAACCACATTGTGAGGTCATAGGTCAGTGAAATTTTCCTGGAAAGGGCCAGATAGTAAATACTTCCAGCTCTGGGACCTGTACATCTATCACGATTGCTCCCCTTCACGGTGGCAGTATATAAACACATAACTGAGTGGACATGGCTGTGTTCCAATAAAACTTTATTTACAAAGGGAGAGTGTGGGCCGGATTTGGCCGGTTAAAACTTATTATTGCATTGATCAAGCAATTTATGATGATATTACA